AATTACGTGACTGAGTCACTGGTCACGGTGAACTTCAGAATGTGTTGTTATAGACTACGCACAGTCCCCCCTTTGGGGCGAAGTCCGTCGCGCGATTAAAAAAAACACATCAGAGATTAATTAATTAACACATCAGAGATTAAAAGGGAAAAAAAGATGTTAGCGCGCTACCAGGAGCTCTTGGAATGAGGCAAAGTAAGCAATGAGTAAATTTTTTCTTGGTTTATTTTTTTTTCTACCTGCACCACGGACTTCGCTGAAAAGGAGGAACTACTCGTAGTCGTAATGCTGTTATCGCCGGTTACACTAAATAAAATCCTGTAGTTTGGTTCTGAAACGTTCTTACAGGCTTGAATAGCCTAAGCTCTCTAAACTCAAATATAAAAGAACAGAAACCAATTTTTCAAAAAAGTACCACGTTGACCGAAAGCTAATTAATGATATCCGAGACGTTTTGTTCACCTTTTTAGTCACGAGACAGAATCATTTGCCGTAATTTAGCCGTTTAAAATGTTTAAAGAATCAATCAGTGTGTTCGAAAATCTTTGCCTTATTATCTTTTCTTTTTAAAGTGGTTACAATCTAAGATTTATGAAGTTACCAATATAGATGGTCGGAGTCTGCTCAACGGACTAATTTGCATAATTCTGCTGTCACGCTAGCAAAATCACCAAAAGTTTGAAGTCACTTAGGCGAAGGAAATTTATAAGTGAAAGATGTTTCTAAATTTCTATGCTTTCGAACATCTTATTAAAAGAAATCAACCGAAGTTTTGAATGGTCTGGTCTGGACTTGAGAAATATTACCCAAGAAAGAAAGAGTACTTTTGACCAATTTCCGAAAGCTGTCTAACGGGTGTTTTTAAATAAATTAGATCACTGGAGTAACTTCATTACAGGGAGGCGCTGAAGGAGCAATCAAAAAATATTTGATTTGCAAAGAGAGTCGTTTTAGCAAATATTCGATTAAGAAAAAAAATACGGAATTAAATTAACTAGACTCACAGTTCTAAATAAGTTAGTTAATAAT